GATAGAAGAAGAAGTAGTGATGAAAAGAAGAATAATTCCAAGCCGGCAAAAAGTGTATGTGCAGAGTTCCCAGTTCTCTGACAGCTTCTTCACATGTACAGCGGTTGAAACATCTGTATCCTAAATGGAAACTAATAGATACAATGTTTCAACCGTTAAACATGTGTTCCTTCTGTCAGAGAACTGTCAGAAATAGCGGAGCTCACTGCAGGGACACTTTTGCCGGCTGATCGGGAAATGTTCGATTCGCGCACCCGAAGTAGGCAAAATTTCGGATTCGACGCGAATCGAATATTTCCTGAAATTCGACTCGAATTCCGGTTCGCCTGGTTCGATTCGCTCATCTCTAATTATCAGGCATGAAACACTGCACCAGCATGAGATTTTTATAATTGTTTTAGACAGATAGAGCTTTCTTTTGGTGGTATTTAATCACCACTGGGGTTTTTATTTTTTATAAATTAAAAAACACTGATAATTTTGAAAAAAAACCCTACTTTTTAAAGTTTTTATTATAAAATTTTGCAAATAAATAATCTTTCTTCATAAAATTAAGCCAAAATGAATTCTGCTACATTTTGATTAGTAAAAAAACAAACAAACCAGTGTATATTATTTAGACTGTGTTAAAGTTATAGAGCCTACAAACTATGATACATACACTATATTGCCAAAAGTATTGGGATGCCCTCCTTTACCCGCACATGAAATTTAATGGCATCCCAGTCTTAGTCCGTAGAGTTCAATATTGAGTTGGCCCACCCTTAGCAGCTATAATAGCTTCAACTCTTCGGGGAAGGCTGTCCACAATGTTTAGGAGTATGTCTATGCGAATGTTTGACCATTCTTCCAGAAGCGCATTTGTGAGGTCAGGCATTGATGTCAGACGAGAAGGCCTGGCTCCCAGTCTCTACTCTAATTCATCCCAAAGGTGTTCTATCGGGTTGAGGTCAGGACTCTGTGCAGGACAGTCAAGTTCCACCACCCTAAACTCGCTCATTCATGTCTTTATGGACATTGCTTTGTGCACTGGTGCATAGTCATGTTGGAACAGGAAGGGGGCCATCCCCAAACTGTTCCCACAAAGTTGGGAGCATGAAATTGTCCAAAATATCTTGGTATGCTGACGCTTTTAGAGTTCCCTTCACTGGAACTAAGGGGCCAAGCCCAACCTCTGAAAAACAACCCCACAACATAATTCCCCCTCCACCAAACTTTACACTTGGAACAATGCAGTCAGGCAAGTACCGTTCTACTGGCAACCACCAAACCCAGACATGTCCATCAGATTGCCAGAGAAGCGTGATTCGTCACTCCAGAGAACACGTCTCTCTATGCTTTACACCACTCCATGTGACGCTTTGCATTGCACTTGGTGATGTAAGGCTTGGATGCAGCTGCTCGGCCATGGAAACCCATTCCATGAAAGGTTTCTACACATTGTTGTTGTGCTAATCTGAAGGCCACACAAAGTTTGGAGGTTTTTAGCTATTGACTCTGCAGACAGTTGGTAACTTCTGCGCACTGTGCGCATCAGCATGCTCTGACCCCGCTCTGTCAATGTACGTGGCCTACCACTTCATGACTAAGTTGCTGTTGCTCACAGTTGCTTCTACTTTGTTATAATACCATTAACAGTTGACTATGGAATATTTAGTAGCAAGGAAATTTCACGGATTGATGTATTGCACAGGTGGCAACCTATCACGGTACCACTCTTGTATTCACTGAGCTCCTGAAAACGACCCATTCTTTCACAAATGTTTCTAGAAGCAGTCTGCATGCCTAGGTGCTTTATTTTATACATCTGTGGTGGCCATGGAGGTGACTGGAACACCTGAATCCAATGATTTTGGGAGGGGGGTCCCATACTTTTGACAATAAAGTGTATATTTGAAAATTGATCAATCCTGATGTACTCATTTCTTGAGACCCTAAAATGCCAGGACAGTACAAATACCCCCAAAATGACTCCTTTTTAGAAAGTAGACAATCCAAGGTATTTAGTAAGAGACATTGTGAGTATTTTGAAATTGTAATTTTTTGTTACAATTTTTTTGAAAATTAGGAAATTAACCAGTTGCCGACCGCAGATAGCCGAATGACGGCTAAACTGCGGCCGGCCAGTTCTGAGTGGACGTCATATGACGTCCCCCCAGAACGCGCTCTCCTGCGCGCCCCAGGGGGCGCGCACCCGGCGATCTCCGTGATCGCTGTGTCCTACGGACACAGCTGATCACGAGATGTGGTAAAAAGGCCGATCATACCGGCCTTTTACCACGTGATCAGCGGTGTCCAATGACACGCTGATCACAGGGAAATGCAAGTGCCGGTTCTCGGCTGCACTTTCCTCACGCTGTCAGATTGTGAGGAAAGTACTGCCGAGAACCGGCAGTTGTCAGAGAGAAGATCGGCACCGATCATCAGGGCAACTGATGATCAGTGCCCTGATGATCGGTGCCCAGCAGTGCCACCCACAAGTTCCGCCCACCTGTGCCCAGCAGTGCGCCCACTAGCTCCGCCCACCTGTGCCCAGCAGTGCACCCACCTGTGCCCAGCAGTGCACCCACCTGTGCCACTCTGCAGTGTCACACACCTGTGCCCAGAAGTGCCACCTACCTGTGCCCAGCAGTGCCACCCACCTGTGCCCACCCACGCCACCCACCTGTGCCCACCAGTGCCACCCACCTGTGCCCACCCACCAGTGCTGCCCACCAGTGCCACCCACCAGTGCAGCCCAGCAGTGCTGCCAGTCAGTGCCACCAGTCAGTGCCCAGCGGTTGTGCCAGTCAGTGCCGCCAGTCAGTGCCCAGCAGTGATGCCAGTCAGTGCCATCTATCAGTACCCATCATCAGTGTCACCTATCAGTGCTGCCTATCAGTGCTGCATATTAGTGCCGCCTATCCGTGACACCTCATTAGTGCTGCCTATCAGTGCCGCCTATCCGTGCCATCTCATTAGTACTGCCTATCAGTGCCCTTTAGTGCTGCCTATCAGTGCCCATCAGTGCCGCCTATCAGTGCCCATCAGTGCTGCCTCATCAACGCACACCAGTGAAGGAGAAAAAAATACCTGTTTGAAAAATTTTTATAATAGAAACAAAGAAACTTTTTTTTTTTTTCAAATTTTTTGCACTTTTTTAATTTATAGCGCAAAAAGTAAAGCGCCCAGTGGCGATTAAATACCACCAAAAGAAAGCTCTATTTGTGAGAAAAAAATGGTCAAAATTTCATATGGGTACAATGTTGCATGACCGCGCGCAATTGTCAATCAAAGTGCGGCAGCGCTGAAAGCTGAAAATTGGCCTGGTAAGGAAGGGGGTATAAGTGCCTGGTAGGCAAGTGGTTAAATATTTTTTTTCCCACAAAGTGTTCAGCTTAACAAGCTATTTCTCACACACAGCATAGGCATACTTGCAATTACACCCAAAAAACACATTCTGCTATGCCTCCTGAGTATGGGGAAACCACATTCCTGAGACTTTTTCACAGCATAGATACATAGAAGGGTCCAAAATCCAAGGAGTACCTTCAGGCATTCCAGGGGCATAAATTATGCATTTAATTTCCTGGTTAACTATTACATTTTTGGAGGCCCTGGAACACCAGGACAGAGGAAACGCCCACAAAGTGACCCCATTTTGGAAAGCAAACACTCCAAGGTATTTTCTGAAAGACAGAATGAGTCTTTTGAAAATGTAATTTTTTGCCAGAAATTTTTGGAAAATGTAGGTAAGAAAATTAAAATCCATACACTCTTCCTGCACATATACACTATATTGTACATGACACACTCCTGCACTATATACACTTTATTGTGCATTACACACTCCTGCACTATATACACTATATTGTACATTACATACATCTGACCATAGCATTCATTGTCTTAACAGTTGCTGGTAGTTAAGCAGTTCCTGGCTATTTTTAATGAAGTTCTTTAAGGTAGGCACAGACAAAGTGCTAGCTCTCTTTTCAGGTATACTCAAAATCATATTTATTGGAAGAGTTTTATTTTTTTAAATAGAATTGTGCTGAGGTGTATACATGTCTGCAAGACTCTTACTTGTGGCACATATTTTCTAAGCATATTTTTGGGTACAAGAAGGCCTAACACAATTTAGCCACACCAACTGTTCTCTTCTACTTAGTGTGCCCAAAGGTACTCTTGGTCTTTTACAATCATAGCAACACCCTTGTCACAATAAAAACCACACTGTGGCACACCAAGCACAACAAATTTTTATCAAGTAATGGCGCCCAAATTATGATCTTGCACACAGGCCCAATGATTTTAGAGAACGCCTCTGGTTGGATTTTATGAATGTCAAAAGTTATGTTCCTTCTTACTTGCAAAAAACTGTGAACAACACAATATTATTTTGCATATATTTCAGACTGTAATAAAGATTTGCAAAGGTAATATTTGTAACACTGAAGAAGTCCACATTAACTGTTGTTCTGCATTCTGATGTTTGTGGTAATGATTTGAATATTTTAGATAATCAAGCCAGAATGTATGACAATGAACTACCCTCGGGATCCAGACTTTGCCAGTTCTGCTGCAACAACCATAGACACAGAGAGCAAGAATTTGTACATATTTCTCATTAAAATAATAAAAGTGTAGCACTACCCCCTTAGGAGTCGCTAGAGATTTGGATTCTCCTGCACAGCCAGGCAACACACATATTCTTCCAGCCTTGCACTCCAGAGACAGTAAACAGTCTTTGATTTATTGGGGGATTGATAACTTGGATGGGGATGAGGGATACATGGCATGCCCAATGAACTGTAAAACTGAGGACAACTTCCTGGATCTATGTACAAGTAGTCAGAAGGATTTTCTCTTCTTGGAGAGCTATCCAGTCTCTCTTTGTGTACCACCTCAGACCTCAGATGAAATCTCCTCTTCATCCCTGGCCAAGAGGTCCCAGAAGCTGCCAATTTAGATGAAAGCAAAATCAGATGGGGGCTAGTCAGGTTTCCCAGCCAAATGCCCTTTCCCCTTATCTGGCCCAGGGGGTTGGTGGCTGCCTTCAGGCCTTACCCTGGGCTGGCTTCTTCCTTGCTTCCCAAACTGTCCTCTCGGGGATGATGAGGCTGAGAAATCCTCTCTTCCAGCTCCTCTACCTGCAGGTAGGCTCCTCTCCTGGACCCCCTCCCAAGCTCCATACACCATCCTGCTCATCCTTAGCAGGCACAGTCACTCTTAAGAGCTGTCTTAACCCCATGTCAAGCCTCCAGCTTGGGGATTGGTAAGGATCCCCTAAGAGTGCAGACCAGCCACTCCTCACCCCTACCCACTGAATTCTGGAGACTTCTACAAGTCTCTAGATCAAGGGGAAGTTCAAGAGAGTTGATCTGCAGAGTCTTTGACCCCCTGAATATCTATTCCTGGCTGCTACTTAGCGTCTATGTAAAAATAAAATTAACTTAGTTCCCCCTAGTTACCTAGGAGGGTGTTACAAAAGAAAAGCCCTTCTGTCCTAAAAAGAGAACCTGAGTAGTTCCAAAATCCACCCAATTTTTTATTAATTTTGGCTAGAGTTGGGTAGGGATTTTTTTGTGTTTTTATTGGGATGACACCCTCTCAAATGGGTATGAGGTTTGAGATTTCCATGGCTCTACCCATTCTCATATATTGATAGCTTGTGAGTGGCTTCCAGCAGACCTCTAATCAATGTCTATGACAGATGGAGATTTGTGTGTATAATGCTTTAATAGGTGCACCCAAATGCAGTTGTTTTCATCCCTAGTCTACTGATGTGCTGACCTAATTGGAAACCAATGTTCACCACGCAGATAAATGGAGATCTGCGAACAGCTGCTGATGGTGTTCAAAAATGCATGGAGATTTCAGATTTTGCCTATGGGAGGCCCTGTCCTTATGACTCCAGATGAAAAAATATGGCTTTAAATAGAGGCTGCATTACTGGGCTCCTGTTTCAAACTTACATTCTGGCCTAAAATGAAATCTAAATACAAATCCACCTGCTCTCAACCAATTTTTTTCCCATAACCCCCTACCCCTGGTGGGAATGCTCATTTACACCACCTAACAACTGTACCAGACCCTCATGTGTGGGCTAGATATAGCATAAAGACTCTGAGACATAAGCATAAAGACTCTGAGACATAATGCCAGTTGGTATCCTGTTAATCAATATACGTATAGGTGCAGCGCTGATAAATATATAAATGAAATGAATAAATATGTCCGATGATAAAAGTATTTAATAATAAGAATGAATAAAAAAGTCCAGTGATAAATAAATAAAATAGTTCACGTAGTAAATCAGATTATAGGCCGTCGGGCCTCCCCTCTGATGATGTGCTATGCACGAAAGGCCTAAGGAGGAGCTGACAGAGAGTGACGTAACTGCCGCCGGAGCCACAAGGAAGCCCGGCAGCCATCTTTAATAGTGTCAGTGCTGCATACTCTGCTTTTCATTGGAGATCTTTGCTTTTACTACCCTGTCACTTTAAAACATTTATTGGAATTAAACTTTTTTTAAATACTACACTATGGGCACCCGTTTCTTGGCTCCTATTTGGAGC